TTTCTGGGGACCAAATTGAATCTTTCACTGACTTTCTCTTTCTTCGCTTCTGAAAAGTAATATATTAGGGTTTCTCATCATTAGCATGTTTCTTGCCTGAGGTAGCTAACTAAACCCATGATTATTATGATTCCGTTTTAAAAAGTAGCACATTACTTAATTACTGATAGATTGATAAGTAATACTAGCTAGAAATTTTTCAAACTCCAGCTTTATGCAGAAGGATTGAGGATCCACGCATACATTTGAGCATTTAAAAATTTTCTTGGGAGTTGAGAGAAAATTCACTACTATCACCTTTCAAAACACATAATTCTAACGCTACTTTTGCATGCAAATATGCGTTTTTTATTTGATCGATCGATCGCAGAATGGAACAAATCATTGAAAGGCGGCAGAAGGTCACCGGGACTCGTATTCCTGAGCACGATACCCGGGTAGTTCTAAATTCTAATCTTGTATTGTATGTTATGGCCTATATTAGTTGATTGTTTAATTTGCCCTTTAATTAATTTTGTAGGAAGAATTATTCAATGAATTAGCGGTGCTGAAAAAAGAAACCCGGCGTCTTCAGCTAAGTATGCGACGCTACACTGGTGAGGACATGAGTTCCATACCATATGAAGATCTGGATCAGCTTGAACAACAACTTGAACTTTCTGTTGATAAGGTCCGACAAAGAAAGGTAGCTTCTCTAATTTACTTTCTAAATTGAACAGAACTTTTGTTTTATAATTAATCAATTAATTAGCATTTAATTTGTTTAAGACAAGAAGTTTTTCTATTTTCTTTCTTTTTTCTGCGTATACATGTTTGATTTTTTAATTTTTGGGTGGGGCTTGCAGAGTGAGCTCCTGCAACAGCAGCTGGAAAATCTACGTAGGAAGGTAAAATAATAATAACAGTGTCTTTATCTCAAAATGCAGAGTTTAATGCAACTATAAACCTATCGCTTGATGTGTAGGAGCGAATGTTGGAGGAGGAGAACAGCAACATGTACCGATGGGTAAGTAAATTCAATGTGCATCATGTATATATCATTTAGGGTTAATCAAAGACTGAAGGCGTCTTAACTGGTGATAGTTAATTATGCAGATTCAGGAGCACCGACTGGCGATTGAGTATCAGCAGGCGGCATTGGAGGCAAAGCCGGATGAGTCACATCAGCAACAAATCTTGGATCACTTTCAATTCTGTGGAGAACAACCCAGTAGTGTGCTTCAGCTGGCAACCATGTCTAATCATATTCACCCTTATCATCTTCAGCTTGCTCAACCCAACCTTCAGGATTCCAATATCTAGAACCTCACTTAAGGTATATACTCAAATAACTACTTCCATTCATCTTTAATTTACCTTTATTATTTTCAGAAGTTCTTATTACGATGATTATTAAGATGATGCTCGACATGGGTTGGTTTAAACTTTATACTGAAACCCATAAAACTCACAGAATATTAAAAAAAAAAAAAAAAAAAATCAACTGCAAGAAATATGATAAATGTGTGATATGCTTATGTCATTGGGAACTAAAAACTGCTACAAATTAGGAGCCAAACATGTTATTATAAACTGATTACTTTGTTACACGAAAAGTTGATATCGAACAATAAAAATTAATAGAAAATCTTTAAAAAAAAAAAAAAAAAGTTTTGTTCATTAGTCCCTTTCTTCTTTTCGGTGTCAAGATCAAGTCAAACTATTAAACTGATATTTCCTTCATTTTATTCCCTGTACTGTACTCCAATATATTCTAAAGGGGTTGTCTTGAAATAGCAGTTGACCAAGGTAAACCAAAGGCAATGGATGTTGATGTTTTCTGGCGACCGCAAGACTTGTTCAGTGGTCCTAGAAGCTGAAATCATTACAAAAATCTGACATTCAATCAATGCACTTCATCATTTTTATATATATTTTCTACATACTCCCGTTGAAAAATCTGTGGATTAATTTAATTACGTGATTTGTGCAGAGAGTACGCATGGGTTCTCGATGAAAGATTAGGTTACCATTATCAAGTTGCAGACTCACAATATATAATTTCTACTGGATTTGGTTATCAATTATGCATTATATTAACCTTTGTTTTATGTTTCTATGGAGTTATATAAGGTTTCTATGTCTCTGTGTGCTACCAATATATATCACTCTTTCTATGTATTAAGGGATTTGCTTAATTTGAAACTAATGTTTTTTTTTGATAAACTTGGTAATTATATTAAAGAAATAATAAAGAATTACAGTCTAGAAAGGGAACACCCCTTTAGACACACAACCTTGGCATTCCCAAGTGACATGGCTAAGCAAAGGGTAAGAGAAGCCAAAAGAAACTTAAGCCAAAACCGCCAAAAACACAAGGATTACAAAACCGACTAATTACACAAAAAGGAGCCTCAAAAGCCAAACAAAAATCAAGGCTCTAGTTGCTTGGCCCACCAAAAAGCTAACAAATTTTTTTATACAACTAGCAAGCCTATACCAGCACCAACCAACAAAAATCTGCACGAAAAATTACAGCCCCGTAAAAACTTAGAGCAAAGAGAGAGCCCAAGGACAGCAGCGCTTTTTAAGCCAACCAAACAGACCAACCAGCGGGGTAAAAGCAAAACTGCAGTTGCAAAAGCTGTGGAATTTTCTGGGGCATTTTCCAGAGAATTCGACAGAAACAATAAATCCAAATAAAGCTCATTCCCTTCCCAACCAGGATCCTGCAGAAGCCAAAAAAGCAAGTAGACCAAATCACTCCAGCAACCCATTTAGCTACATCTTCACGCCCTCTAAAGAAGCCACTGTCCATCACAATTTCCCCAAAAAACAGCAGCATCTCAAAAACAATAAAATGCGAGCAGGAAAGGCTCAGCAAAATGGGCGCCTGAATGCAAGCACCTAACAAGTGGGAACCGATCCAGCACACAATCAAAGAGACACCAGAACCATAAAAATATATAACAAAGGACTCTGCAGAAAGTGCAGGAAACTGAATATCAATGCAGCACCAGCAAAGAACCAGAAAAAAAGGCGTGAACCTCCCATCTAATCATAGAGAGACGACTGGAATAGTTAATGAGGAAGGGATATCACTGCTGCTGGATGTAGCAGATTGCACAACAAGTCATGAGGGGAGTTATAGCCCAAATGCGAGAAATCAGGCCATAGATCCCGAGATAACTAGTTAAGGGGGAATACCATCCAGTCCAAGGTTTATAGAATATGACTCAAGCATTAAAGTCAGCAAACTCCATTGCGAAGACACTTCATGGGAAGACTCCATTCCGCTACCAATTTGCGGGGATAACAAACTAATGTTTCAATATGGCATGCATGGCTTCATAGTTAAAGAGAGAGGCAGAAATAGTTTACTGTTCCTTATTATCGTATATTTCAACCAGTACCCTAAGAAACCAAGCAAATTGATGATCATACTAATAGAAGTGGAAGCAGTAATGTGTAAAAAAGGTTCCTTAATTAGGACAAGATTAAGATATCTCAACGCCAGGTTAAATTAATATTCATGCTTAAGTTTAATTAACCCTATAATTAACATATCATTATATTCCTCCCGATCCTTTTTTTTTTCAGATATATTAAACTATTAACATCTTGTAATTTGATTTGAACGAAAAAGAAACTAAATTATATTTAGCATTAAATCACAATATAATTAATATGTACTACTACTACATGCAGTCGGTTAGGCATTGTTAACTTCAATGTAACAAGAAAAAGGCCACTCTAGAAACTACTTGATGCAAACATACATATATACTCATTTCTGTTAACCTAATTAAAAAATATTGCTCATGCCAGCCATTGAAGCTCGGGAAGTAGTAAGACAAGAAAATCTTGTTTATGTATTGCAAATTTTACTTTATTTTTTTTTAGGTATCTGAGACTCACATTGGAGTATGTCTAATCCTCAGAGCCACATAACATCCTATAAACATAATGGATCAAAGTAATTGCATAAATGTAATAGGTACCTCTCCTAACAATTCCAACATAAGACCCTCCGAATATAACTAATTCTGGTGACTAAAGGGTTTGTTATCCAACCCAAGGGGAGAGGTGTGAATTTTCTTTGCTTGGGAAAAATGATTAAAGCTAAGTCTGCATGTAGCTAGTGGCTCCCATGCGTTGCTCTTCCTCCTTTTTCACGTTAAATAAATGCCCCTTAAAGCTTCTATAATAGTTGATCTCATTAATTATAGTAACATGAATCTGTTTTCTTTCGAATTCAAAGTCAATCGATAGCTAAATGCCCTTTAGTAATTAATTGTAATTCAAAATTATGTTTGCAAAGATCTGATCCTTTTTTTTAAAAAAGAAAAATATTTTATCTATTAGGTCTCTGAAACTCTATTTTAATTTAGATACAAATGTCCATTACCAAACACATATTCATCATTTTTGTTACTATTAGTTTCAAAATACAACTATGACGCTGACAAGCAGATAGCTTGATCTCATTCTGAAGCAATTCTTTTAGCCTTCCCTAGTTTACCTTATGAGATAGTTTGAAGAGAATTCACCACACAGCTTGAAGTGGTGAGTATGTCTATTTATATAGATGTACAAGTTGCCCTAGAATATTTACAAATCAATCTAGAATATTTACATATCAATTACATGGAAATGATGGAAAGAATATCGTAGAATTTAGGCTAGAATCATGGGTCAAAATTGTTACAAATATTATGCCTTATATTGAGGCAAAGTCCCCCCTCGCCCACCCCAAACCACCCCCCCCCCCCCCCCCCCCCCCCCAAAGCTAAGCTCCAGGTTGGAATAGATGTGAAGCTTGGATCAAAAAAATTTAAAAAGTGGTCAAGAGATACTTTTGGTGAAAATGTCGACAACCTGTAGACGAGAAGAGATGAATTGAGTGTGAAGTTTGCCAGAAACGACAAGCTCTCGAAGGAATTGATAGTCTAATTCAACATGCTTGGCTCGCTTGTGGGAAACTGGATTTGAGCTCAAATTAAAATATGGCACTTTTATTGTCACATAGAAGAAGAGGCCGTTGTGGAAGTGACACATGTAAGTCTTGAAGGGTACGTAATCCAAAGGAGCTCAGCAGCAGCATGTGCAAGGGCATGATACTCAGACTCACAGCTTGAATGAGAGACTGTGGGTTGTTTCTTAGCACTCCAAGAAATCAAATTTCCTCCAAGATAGATGGAGTAACGAGAGGTAGACCGGTGAGTATCAAGGCATCCTGCCCAATCAGCATCAGAGTAAGCAATGAGAGCACTAGGAGTAGCAGAGGAGTGGAAAGTGATGCCAAAATGAAGAGTGCCCTTGATATAGCGAAGAATTCGCTTAACTGTGAGAAAATTATCTGCTATTGGAGCCTGCAGAAATTGACAGACATAGTTGACAGCATGAGCAATATCTGGGCGTGTGATGGTCAAGTATTGAAGGGCGCCAACTAGAGATCTGTAAAAAGTAGGATTTGAGAATAGAGGACCCTCTACAGACAAGTGCTGAGATACAACCATAAGACTGTGGACTGGTTTGCTGTCAAGTAATTGAGCTCGAGTAAGAATGTCCCGTGCATATTTCAGCTGACTGATGAAAAGGCCATCTGTAGTTGTCGAAGCTTCAAGGCCAAGAAAGTAGCTGAGAGGACCTAAATCCTTAGTGGCAAACTCAGAGTTGAGTTTGTAGGTGAATCTGTGGATGAGAGATGAGTTGTTGCCAGTAATAATAATGTCATTAACATATAGAAGCAAATAAATGATATCAGAGTGCTTATGGAAGATAAATAGAGAAGTATCAGCTCGACTGCAAGAGAAACCAAGCTGAATAAGGAAGGAGCTAAAGCATTGGAACCAGACATGAGAAGCTTGCTTTAGGCCATAAAAAGCTTTCTTTAATTGACAAACATGATTAGGGAAGCGAGGATAAATGTATCCAGGAGGCGGCCCCATTTACACATGCTTAGTGAGAGTGCAATTAAGAAACACATTCTTAACATCAAGTTGGCGAAGGGGCCATTTGTTAGTCACAGCAATAGATAGCACAACACGAACAATGGTAGCCTTGATAACAGACTAAAGGTATCAGTGTAGTCGAGACCAGGTACTTGTGTCTAGCCCTTGGCAACAAGATGAGCTTTGTGTTACAGATGTAATGACCTCCTAGATGATGGGGATTACATTAAAATATGTATCCTTTTAAGCTATCTAGTTTAGAACACTACAAGTGTATATAAATATGTATCCTTTTAAGCTAATAATGAGAAGTGTGAATATTCATTACGTTTATTTTACATGGTATCAGAGCCTTAAAAGATAATTAGGGTTTGGGTCTCAAATTTGGGAAATTAGGGTTTAGGTTTCAAAAATGGGAAATTAGGGTTTGGGTTTCAAATTGGGAAAACCTGTTTAGGTTGAGATTTGTTCAACACCGCCACCCAAGGGAGATTCAGAAGCCTCTGATCAGTAAAACCCTGAGTTCCGGCCTTCAGAATCAACGCGCGTGAGCTCCAGGCGCCACCCGAAACTCTGGTGAACAGTAACACGCGCCGGCGTGTGTTACTGTTCACCAGAGTTTCGCCGGCGCGTGAGAGCACGTGCACAGCTGACTTCTCCTCCGATTCTCTTCGTTTGCTTCGTCGATACTGTTACAGCATATTTTCGTGCTGGATTGGGTAATCTCTTACTGGTTCATTGCTGTTCCTTGTTTGGATATTTCTGAGGACTTACTTGTGATCTTTCGGCACTTTGTTTTCGTTTGGTTATTGGTTTTTTGCTTGCTGTGGCCTCTTGTTGGTGGTGACTGTTGATTGATTTGGTGTGTCACTGAAATTTAGTTAGTTTGCTTTGTTTTAACCGTTTGGTGGTGTGCATTGAGATTAACATCTGTTTAAGACATGTCTGATACAAAGCCAGTGATGGAAATGATACTGACGATGTCGAAAATTATAGAACATAAGCTCATTGGTATAACTAATTACCATGATTGACGTAAAACTATTATACCGTATTTGCGGAGTATTGATAAAGATGATCATATGACTGATGATCCACCTGAGGATGATTCGAAAAAGACATGGCTCCGGGATGATGCTCGGTTGATTCTACAAATACGGAACTCTATTGACGGTGTGGTACTTGGCCTAATTAATCATTGTGAATTTATTAAAGAAATGATGGATTATTTGGAGTTTTTGTATTCTGGAAAAGGGAATGTTTCTCATATTTATGAAGTGTGTAAGGTATTCTACCGTGCAGAGAAATAAGATAAGTCTCTTACAGCTTATTTTATAGAGTTTGAGAAGACTTATGAAGTGTTGAACATGTTGTTACCCTTCAGTGCTGATGTCAAAGTTCAACAAAAACAACGGGAGCAAATGGCAGTCATGAGTTTTCTTACAGGCCTTCCTTCTGAATTTGAGACTACTAAATCTCAGGTTCTAGCCAGTCCAGAGATCTCTTCATTGCAGGATGTCTTTAGTAGAGTACTTCGCACAGAAGGTACCCCACTGGTTCAGTTTAGTAGTGCTCTCGTCAGTCAAAAGAATGACTATGAATATGGGTGATCACAATTTGAAAGTGGCAACAAAGGAGGAGGTCAAATAGTAATATGGGAGGAATTGTGTGTCACTGTTGCCATAAGCCAGGACACATGAAGCGTGATTGTAGAAAGCTTCAGAATAGAAATAGAAAAAATCCCTCTGCCCATGTTGCATCCACCAATGATACTTCAGATTAGTCAGTTCTTATCTCTGTAGATGAATTTGCTAAGTTTTCATTGTACCAGGAATCATTAAAGGCTTCACCTACTCCTGTCACGGCTATGGCTGACTCAGGTAAGCCAAATACATGTCTCCTTTCCTCATCCTCCAAATTCATCATTGACTCTAGTGCAACAGATCACATGTCAGGTAATCTCAGTCTCTTTGCTACTTATCAATCAAAAACCCTTTCGAATGTGACTTTAGCAGATGGGTCACCATCCTACGTTCTTGGGTCTGGCACAGTTACCCCTACTCCACAGCTTCCCTTGTCAAATGTCTTACATTTACCAGATTTTTCTTTCAATTTGATTTCTGTTAGCCAACTTACTTGTGCTCTTAACTGTTGTATTTTATTATTTCCCAATTATTGCTTGTTTCAGGATCTTACGACGAAGAAGATTATTGGTAAAGGACATGAATCTGGAGGTTTATACACTCTCGACAAACCAAAATCTACACCTGTCGCTTGTTCTAGTGTTACATCCCCGTTTCAAGCACATTGTCATTTGGGCCATCCATCTCTTCCTTCACTGAAGAGATTGTGTCATCAGTTTAATAAAGTGTCTACATTAGAGTGTGAGTCATGTCAGTTTGCTAAACATTATCATGTCAGTTTTAGTCCTAGAGTTAATAAAAGAGCTAATTCTCCCTTTGAGTTAGTTCACTCTGATGTTTGGGGTCCCTGTCCAGTTCTGTCTAAAACTGGTTTTAGGTATTTTGTTATATTTGTGGATGATTACTCTCATATGACTTGGTTATTCTTAATGAAAAAGCGTTCTAATTTGTTTTCTTATTTCTATGCTTTTTGTACTGAGATTAAAACTCAATTCAATGTTTCTGTTCATACATTGCGCAGTGATAATGCAAAAGAATATCTGTCAGTTTCTTTTCAAAATTACATGACCCAAAATGGCATTCTTCATCAAACTTCATGTGTTGATACTCCATCTCAAAACGGAGTAGCAGAACGAAAAAACAGACATCTTCTTGAAACTGCCAGAGCCTTGTTATTCCAAATGAATGTTCCTAAACCATTCTAGGCTGATGCCGTTTCCACCGCCTGTTTTTTGATTAACCGCATGCCGTCTTCTGTCCTTCATGGTGAGACCCCGTACAGTATTCTTTTTCCTAACAAAGCATTATTTCCTCTTGAACCTAGGGTATTTGGTAGCACTTGCTTTGTTCGGGATGTTCGACCATCAGTCACTAAATTAGATCCCAAGTCATTAAAATGTGTCTTTCTTGGTTATTCTCGACTTCAGAAAGGATATCGGTGTTATTGTCCAAGTCTTAATAAGTATCTTGTTTCCATTGATGTTACCTTTCTAGAAGAAACACCATACTTTCCCTCTTCTCCTGCAGATCGTCCGAAGGATGATGATAATGATGATTTGTTAGTTTATACCTTCACTTCCCCTGCACCAATATCTGAACCAGCATCTGTCTCTGGCCCTGTCACTATTCCTACGATTCCTACATCGGCTCCTATCTCTGATCCTGCTCCTGCTCCTGCTCCTGCTCCTGTCAAAGTTTACTCTCGTCGTCCACCTCCTCCTGTTTCATGTCCGGCACCAACTTCTTCGTCATCCGATCCAGTTTCAAGTGATGATCTTCCTATTGCATTGCGAAAAGGTAAACGACAGTGTACTTATCCTGTTTCTTCTTGTGTTTCTTATGATCATTTGTCACATTCATCATGTTCCTTTATTGCTTCCCTTGATTCTATTACTATCCCTAAAACTGTTCATGAAGCCCTTTCTCATCCTGGTTGGCGTAATGCAATGATAGAGGAAATGAATGCCTTAGATGACAATGGTACTTGGAAATTGGTAGATTTACCTTCAGGGAAACAGGCAATTGGATGCAAATGGGTGTTTACAGTTAAAGTTAATCCAGATGGGTCAGTTGCTCGACTAAAAGCTCGTCTGGTTGCTAAAGGATATGCTCAGACTTACGGAGTTGATTATTCTGATACTTTTTCCCCTGTGGCTAAGTTTACCTCTATTCGGCTGTTTATCTCTATGGCAGCTACTTATGATTGGCCTTTGCATCAGCTAGACATCAAGAATGCTTTTCTTCACGACGATCTTCAGGAAGAGGTATATATGGAGCAACCTCCTGGGTTTGTTGCTCAGGGGGAGTATGGGAAAGTATGTTATCTTCGCAAATCTCTGTATGGTTTAAAACAGAGTCCTCGTGCTTGGTTTGGAAAGTTTAGTCAGGCTGTTGAGAGATTTGGTATGCTGAAATGTAAAACTGACCATTCTGTTTTCTACAAACGGTCTGAAACTGGCATCATTCTTCTAGTTGTGTATGTGGATGATATTGTTATTACTGGGAGTGACAGTGTGGGCATCACATCTCTTAAGTCTTTTCTCCATACCCAGTTCCACACAAAAGACTTAGGGATATTGAAGTATTTCTTAGGGGTTGAAGTTACAAGGAGCAAACGAGGTATATACCTCTCTCAGAGGAAATATGTGCTCGACTTATTAACTGAGACAGGGAAATTGGGGGCAAAGCCATGTAGTGTTCCGATGGTTCCTAATGTGCAGCTTACGAAAGATGGTGAACTATTTGGAGATCCTGAGAAATATAGAAGATTGGTCGGGAAGTTGAACTATCTTACGGTGACTCGTCCAGATATTGCATATTCAGTAAGTGTTGTCAGTCAGTTTATGGCCTCCCCAACAGTTCATCATTGGGCGGCTTTGGAGCAGATCTTGTGTTATTTGAAAAGAGCCCCTGGACGCGGTATATTATATACCAATCATAGTCACTCTCACATTGAATGTTTCTCAGATGCAGATTGGGCAGGTTCCAAGGTAGATAGAAGATCCACATCAGGCTATTGTGTCTTTGTCGGAGGAAATTTAATATCATGGAAGAGCAAGAAGCAGAATGTTGTGTCACGATCAAGTGCAGAGTCGGAATATAGGGCTATGGCACAAGCTGTTTGTGAAATAATGTGGATATATCAGTTCCTGACTGAAATAGGCCTTGAAACTTCAGTACCAGCGAAATTATGGTGTGATAACCAAGCGGCTCTTCATATTGCATCTAATCCAGTGTTCCATGGACGAACAAAACACATTGAGATCGATTGCCATTTCGTCCGTGAGAAACTACAACAAGGTCTGATTTCCACTAGGTATGTGAAGACTGGAGAACAATTGGGAGATATCTTCACAAAGGCTCTAATTGGGATTCGAGTTGATTATCTTTGTAACAAGCTGGGTATGATTGATATCTATACTCTAGCTTGAGGAGGAGTGTTACAGATCTACATGACTTCCTAGATGATGGGGATCACATTAAAATCCTTGATTATAGGGATCACTTCTATCCTAATTTAGATTGATCACCTACCTAGTTTAGAACACTACAAATGTATATAAATATGTATCCTTTTAAGCTAATAATGAGAAGTGTGAATATTCATTATGTTTATTTTACAGAGACGTTCAATGATCCATCAGACAGATATTTGGTCCTGAACACCATTTAGAACCCACAATGTTGGTGTTAGCAGGCCTAGGGACCAAAATCCAGGTGAGATTGTTTTGCAAAACTTGCATCTCTCCATCCATGGCAGCAAGCCAAGCAGGATTCTTTGTAGCAGATTTGAATCCTTTAGGTAAGAAGAGCACAAAGAAGACCAGATGAGTCCAAGACACCAAGGCTCGCCAGGTGGCGAGTTTTAAAAATGCCAGCTTTGGCTCGTGTGAGCATAGGGTGAGACCTCAATGGAAATGCTGGAGCGGGAGTGAGATCATGAACTTGAGAAGCGGTGTCAGGCTCAACAAGAGATGGTCTAGGGTCTGAGTGCACTGAAGGAGAACCTACAAAGGAGTCAATAACCTGCACAGACTCATCCACTGGGTCAGTACAAATAACACACAGGTTAGATCCGAATGGAGTAATGTTAGGAGAATGGTGCTCGGGGTAACGGGAAGATGTGTTTGTAAGAGATGAGCTAGGTTCCAAAAAGTTGGAAAATTGGAGAGATGAGATAGGTTGAGCTTGAGAGGAGTTTAAAGAGGGGAAGTGATGTTCATCAAACTGTGCATGTCGGGTGATGTATAGTCTAGAAGTGGTGGGATCGAGGCAGCGAACCCTTTGTAGGAGGGACTATATCCCAGAAAAATACAAGGTACGCTACGAGGAGAAAATTTGTTAGACATATAATCTCGCAAACAAGGGTAAACACGATAGCCAAAAGGATGAAAATTTTCATAATTAAGAGAGAAACCATAAAGAAGCTCAAAAGGGGACTTACCTCCAAGAAGCGGTGTGGGCAAGCAATTGATGAAGTAGACTGCAGTGCTGAAGGCATCAACCCAGAAGCGAGGAGAAAGATGAGAGTGGAAAAGAAGAGCCAGGCCAATCTCAGTCACATGTCGATGTTTCCTTTGGGCGCAACCATTTTGAGCAGGTGTGTATGGGCAAGATAGTTGATGATGGATGCCAGAGGTGCGCTTGGAAACGATTGCTTGTGAATTCTGCACCACCATCACTTTGAAAAATTTTGATACGCGCAAAATATTGATTTTTCACAAATTTTTGAAATTGAAGGAAAATATTGCAAAGTTCAGATTTTAAATGCGAAGGGTATAGCCAAGTGAAGCGAGAAAAATCATCAATGAAAAGAACATAATAGACAAACCCTAAATTGGATTTGATGGGGGAAGGGCCCCATATATCACAATGAATTATATCCAACACATTAGATGATCGATGTTCATTACGCGAATAAGGCAAACGATGATTTTTTGCTATTTGACATGTACTACAAAGCGTTGGATAAGGATGTAAGATAAATATGACCTTTTTTACTTAAAAAAGAAATAATGGAGTGATTCACATGTCCCAGACGAGCATGCCATAAATCATATGAGGCATGAAGCGATTTATTTTTAAGAACAGAAATAAAGGTGGGATGTCCACACTCCAGCACATGTAAGCCTCCATCTCGTTTACCGGTTGCCACTACACAGCTTGATACCTGGCTCTAATATCATGAGACAGTTTGAAGACAATGCACCACTCAGCTTGAAGTGGTGAGTATGTCTATTTATATAGATGTACAAGTTGCCCTAGAATATTTACAAATCAATCTAGAATCAATCTAGAATATTTACATATCAATTACAATGGAAATGATGGAAAGAATATAGTAGAATTTGGGCTAGAATCATGGGTCAAAATTGTTACAAATATTATGCCTTAGATTGAGGCAAAGTATCCTCAACACCTTAAACTCTTTAATTTATACATTTTTGCTCAGAAAATCAGATATATAAGAAATCTCGTTAACAAATATTGAACTTTAATTGAGATTTACAGAAGAGAATTTTGAGCACCTCAAACAATACCTGTCATATCATACATAAAGTGTTCTCGAATTTCATGATCAACATTAAGTTTCATTTGTCCTGCAATAAAATTTAGCATCATGTAAATTTTTTCTGAACTAGGATGAGTTTTATCATGAGCTATGAATCTATGGAGAGTTCCAAACATCTCTACAAAACTACAACCAGGATACTTTTTCACTCCTCTCAACTCCATGGCTTCCCTCATTGTTCTTGCATCATCCCAGCGTTTGGAAATCGCATAAACATTTGATAACCCAATATATCTGCCATCATGATCTGGTTCCAACTCAATAAGCTTCTTTCCAACTATCTCTGCAAGATCCAATTTACCATGGTTCATACATCCAGTGAGCAGAGCACCCAACATTGAAGCTGTTGGCTCCATAGGCATTTGACACACAAAATTGTATGCCTCTGCTACTCGCCCAGCACGTGACAGAACATCAACAACGCAAGCATAATGCTCACTCTTTGGCGTCATGCCATATTTACCAAGGCAATCAAAGAAATACCAAGCTTCAGTGACAAAACCTCCATGGGCACAAGCACTCAACAAACACAAGAATGTAATCTCGTCTGGGGTGATCCCAACTATTTGCATTTCTTTGAACAATTCAAGCGACTCTTTAACCAATCCATGCACTGCAAGCCCTCCAATCATGGCATTCCACATCAAAACATCGCTACGATCCAATTTAACTCCACGAAACACAGACAAAGCCTCCTTGATTGCCCCACACTTGGCATACATATCAACAAGAGAAGTTTGCAGAACCAAATTCAATGGCAATCCATTATCAACCATGTACTGATGCATCATTCTCCCTTGATCAAGGGCACCCAAATGAGCACAAGCACACAACACACTCACCATAGTCACCTCATTGGCCTTGGGACCAACACCTCTCATTTCCTCAAAAATCGCCATAGCCTCCTTGTAATCCCCACTCTTAACGTACCCATCAATCAAAGAACTCCAAGACACAACATCCTTTTCTGGCATCAAATCAAACACTTGTCTTGCCAGATTCATTTCCCCACACTTAGCATACCCATCCAACATAGAATTCCAAGAAACCAAGTTCTTCAAAGGCATTCCATCGAACAATTTACGGGCATAAATTATATCGCCGCAGGAAGCGTACAAATGAATCAAGGAGTTTGCAATAAACCTATCGGACTCATACCCAGTTTTTGCAGTGTGAGCGTGAATTGCCACGGCAAGTTCTCGCTTCAGAAGGCGGGCAGAGGCCTTTATAACAAATGGGTACGTTAAATAATCTGGTGAGAGTCCAAGTCGCAACATTTTAACAAAAAGAGAGATGGATTTGTTAGGATTTTTGCTATTGGAGTAACCTCTAATGACAGTGTTCCAATTGAAGATAGATGGGTTTTGTAGATGTAACAAAATTTTGCACGAGTAATCGATGTGAGCAGGATGGGAAAGTGCAGTGAAAGAGAAGAATTTTGATAGAAAAGGGTCATGTTGGGAGAGATTAAAGGTGAAAAATAGAGCATGAAGTTGTTTTAGCGAATGCAGTGATTTGCATTTATCAAGGAGAGTAATTATATTTCTAGATAACAATGATACATCCGACATTTACAGGAAATAAAACCTCAAAGGCTCAAACACACTTTCAAAATCTAGCGATGGAGGGAATGCATATAGGGAACATATATACGTAAAGAACCGGGAAGTGAAGTGAGAAGGGACTGTCAGACAGAAGTGGTTAAATTAAAATCACACTACAGTATCAGCCATTTAGCCTTGGGATAATGTAAGGGCTAAGGATTAATGGTATAGTATTAGCCTTAACAAAATACGAGGTTCAATGTTATAGATTTAATTACAACGACGAATTTAATATCGAAATAAATAACGATGACATGTGTTAAAGATTTTTTTCTTTTCTCCCTATAAGATATTCCTTCCGTTTCCAAATAAATGTCATTCTAAACTTATTATTTCTTTTCAAAATAAATGTCATTTGACCAAAAAGTAGAGTAACCCTTTCTCTTTCTTGTTTTATGGCCCTCGTCTCCTCTTTTTTTCTCTCTTTCTTTGGCCTCTCACTCCTCTCTCTTTCTCTCTCCCCTCGTCTCCTCTCTCTCTCTCTTTCAAACGTCATTTAACTCTTCACATTTCTCTTTAGTTTCAAATTTGGGACATTACTGGTCAAGAGATGTTTAAAGCTGTTACTTCTGCTTACTATAGAGGTGTTGTTGGTGCACTCGTTGTTTATGGCATTACCAGAAGAAATAGCTTTGATAGCATTTATGATTTAACACTGGCTTGCCTTTGTTCATTTGTGATGTTTTTCCAACTCATACTCGTATTAACTTCCTCAGTTATGTCATCAACTTCATCCATAGCTTCTAATGTTGGAGATTTCTCTAAGCATATATCTTCTGTATGACATTGTCCAAAAAATTTCCCACCACTGAGAGGGAAGAGTAAATAAAAGATAAAGAGTAGGAGAGAGAATTTGTTTACATTAAAAAAATTAGTATATTAAAAAGTGTACAATTTGTTAAAATGACAAATTTTGAAAGGGAGGGAGTAATATTTGTACAAACTATTACTAGTAAAAATTTAATAATATTTACACAAAATTTAACATAAAAAAACAAGAAAATATACAACATAATTTTCTTTGTGGAAAGAAGAAAAAAGAAACAGATTGTACGATTTCATGTTAAATAAGCCAATAATAATATTACCGACTTGTTAGAAAGTGACAAGCAAGCATGTTTAAGACTGTATTACAAGCTGGAGTAGAGAAAGAGTTGGATGATTCTGAAGCAATTATATAATTTAACTTTCACCATCTTCAATCCAAAACATTCAAATAACTGGCTGCAATTCCAGTCACTTATATGAAGATGGCCATATAGCTACATCTACTAAACTAAATTCCCCAGGCAGTATCAATATCAATACCAGTATCAGCATTTCATTCAAACATGAACGTGTACAAGCAGGCTTTTTTTGTTTTTTCGCCTTTTGTTTTCCTCTACGAAAACTACAGTCTCAAATTAAATATGCCATGGATGGAATCATTCTGTGTCACCTTGTGCGTGACTTAACATTAGCTGTGCCCAGAATGGAAACCTCGGTACTGCAAACGGCACACCTGCATTCACAGAGCTGTAATTAGCACACACACATGAAATACCACTATCTTCAACCAAAACATTGTTATACCATTTTCAACTCTATACAAACTACACAAGCAATTATGTACATGAGAAATCAGTTCGAGCATTGAGCTAATGAAAACTCTAAAATACTCAAATAAAATAATTATAAAGATGACAAAATGTATACAGACTAAGTGCCTAACCAAGAAACATTCATATAATAATCTATTATCAAAAGTCTGAAAGTTTAATGGCATGTTTACATATTTGTATCAACTTAAACATTATTTAGAAGCATATTTGCCAGTTGAGAGAATAAATGACAATTTTTCCATTCAATCATGTGGAATAATCAAACGTCACCTTCCAAGGAATCCAAGCAATTTTCTTTGTTAAGCTACTCGTGCAAAAATACAAGTGAAATTAAAAATATGGCAGTCAGCTGGATGATCATGTTACCTACAAGCTCTGTTATTCCTGGGAATACAAATGACGCAATGATGATAAAGTATGCACACAATTGATTGCAGTGTACCAACCGCAAAAAAGCAGTGAAAATCTAAATGGAACTCAAATTAACCAAATCCATACGAACCTCTAAAATGGAGAAGTAAGTGAAGCTGAAAGTGATTATATGGAATATAGATCCAAATCTAACAAGAAAATCGTTATAACTCACTTTCACCCAATGTCTAACAAATATCACTTGTATATATATATATCACCATGGACAACCTGGCTATCAAAAAATAGGTAGATCCCAGGTTCACAGATTATGAACAGAACAATTCTCTACAAACATCGAAACAACCAACATATAGTAAAGACACTCAGACAACTCAAATTTCAAAAATCCATTCGAATCCCAAAACAGAACAATTTGAAGTTTGATAATTTGGTGTGACCTCAAATTGTAAGTGAGCACTGGAAATTGGTAGAACCTCAAAAACAGAGGCTCATTTCTAAATTATGTTTCGATAAATGGGAAAAAGACATGAATTATCATCATGTTACTTAAGATAGCAGTGCCCAAACAATGACAATGCCACAAATTAAGCATAATCTGAGCCAAATCCAAATATCATTTGTGGTTACACATTTAGATCAATACTAGATGAACCTTCAAAGATCCATATTAAAGAGTAGTACATACCCCACCCTCCAAAATCTTAATTTTTATGCCATGATAGTGATAGATATGAGAAAAAATTTAAGCAGCCATGAATTGAATCCAGAAAATTTAAGCAGGAAAAATTGCTATAACAAAAACAGCCATGAATCACAGCAAAAGCATGGGTTTGTTGAGGTCAACTCCATTGGGACAGCAAAGAATTAAGTTCAAGAACAATATATCTCCTAAGTGAACTCACAGAGAACATTAAAGTTGCAATAAGATTAGCATTAGACAACATTAAAGTACCAAGGAAACTCAAAATGTGCATAACTGTACCTGTTATTTTCACCAATTGTTTATGCACTCAGAATGGTATGAATGCTTGCAAGAAGCAGTGTTAAAGTCTCATCAGCCTCATAGTCCAGGCGACAAATGACACATCTGGACAGACACAAAATTAACCATCACACGACTGTTAGTTAAACAATAGATTTAATTTTTTAGCACCCACGAATCATGCTCCATTCTGACTGCCTCCCGTCTTATATTTATTGTTGGCAATGAGGCAGTGTATCAGTTGAAAGACCTCTGCTTCTGTTCCAACCACTTCACCCAGTGCAAGCAGCTCCTGAGATAATTAATTTATACAATGAGAAGTGCAATCCGAATGAAGCTTCACAGAAAGTAGTAGGATCAAAAACAAGCTAACCTCGTACGAAAGTTCATCTGGATCACTTCCTCCCATGCATCCTGCAAATGCAAAGTATGTGATGCATGCATACAAAACAAGATTAAAACGATAAGAAAGCTGAAAGATAAAAAGAAGTAAAATACTTTCAAACTGGAACACGTGGAACTAACAATAGCGTTTTAAGACCCCCTTCCCCCCAACTAAAAAAGAAAAATAAATCTGTTGATTCCATCCTGCTAGTATAAATGGTAAATTCTCTCCAGGAGCACATTATATCCTTCTCAAAGTTGCGATTTGGCAACCTGTTGACAAAGAATGCTTCTACCTAATCTCGCAAAGTACTTATTATTGTCCAGAGCTGGGTATGCAGGGAAACAAGAAAAGTATTATAGGCAAAAATGACAAAGTTATCATAGGATTCATGGCCCAAATAAAATGCCAAAATGAGCAGAACTAAAGTCTTGAAAACTAGATGACCATGGTCCACGAAGATGGGCAAGCAGATAATGTATGCAATAATTCTATTTTAATGCACTAAAAAGGACTGCTATTAGAGCACAAAACAAGCCATCTGAAATTGAATTTTTGGAGGACGATAGTTCCTCTTAAAGTATTTTTTATATCAGGATCAGTGGAAACTCAACTATGCCAAGATTGGTGCTTCACTCAGTGATACTGCCTTACTTGACCATGAAAAGCATGAGTTTGAATCTCAGCAAGCAAAATATGGACCCTCCTTATAAACTCTCTTCATAATTTCATATGGAAACCATTTTTCACCAATTCCACAATTAGATCAAAACCTTCTTCAAATTTAACATATCAAACCTACTATCAATTGTGCCCAAAGTCACTGGATTAATAAATTAATGACTTTTCTTCAATAGAAAATTTTTTAAAACTCTAATAGCAAGTACCATATGGAGAACAGCTCCTAATAGTTTCAAATTACATAAATGGTTAGTATTTAAGCATTTAAATTATGTAAAAGCTAAACATGGGCTTGTAGAAATGACGGGACACACAAAAACTTATTATTAGGACCATCAATTTTTACAATGCGAAATGTGATTTGACAATTTTTTTCTTTTTCATTTTAGTAAGGCAGCAAAAAGAAGGAGATGCCAGGTGAACCTTAGATAAAGTTGTTATAAACTTGCTTTTACAGGACAAACATAGTTAGTATAAAGTTCATTCCAGCACAGAAAATAATAATAATGAGGTGTGGATAGCTAATGAACGTCTCACTTCTAGATTATCAAAATCAAATTACCAACACCAATAAGGTAATAACTCCAAAGGTGCATACAAGATCAAGGAATATTGCCTAAAAGAAAGGGTAATGGAGCTAAATCATCCAAAGGACCAAATAAGTCTTATCAGCAGATAAAACTGCTGAAATCAAGAGAGAAAGACCCAGTATGATTCCTCGAAAAAGGCAAAAGTTCCATGACGAGCAATCTTGCATTAACTGCAGATATGAGCTAGAGAAAAAACACAATCCTTATCAAGTTTATTACTCTATAACAAGATATTGACCAAAAAACTTAGCAGGATGTCAGGAAGAGAATGATTAATAAACATATTCTTAGTGTCAATCACACATTTATCAAGAAACTGCTAAATCCAAAAACTGTTGCTCCAAAGCATCTCCAAGAGTACCTGCTTAAGTCTAACTGCTTACTGAGCTAAATTGGAAATTGGAACTTATCTTCCACACAGTTTATATAGATCTATTGTAAGATCATTCATTTCCTCAGCAAAAGTAGGATTCTTCAACATCAAAAAAATGGATGTAAAATGACTTTTACGTGAAAAAGAAAATGAAAAA